GACTCTTTTTTAAAACTGAATCTGATTCAATTAATTAAACCAATCAGGTTGGGCCGAGTCTCAAATTAGTGCTTGAGACACCAACTTTTGAGAGGCATCAAGAAATTGATGGCGTGCCGTAATAATGATAATGCCTTTTCGCTGAATTTTCTCCAAAATTCTACATGACTGGAAAAAAGGGAGAAAAAGAAGAGGAAATAAAAGACGAAAAGAGAAAGAAGAAGATGAAGAAGATATGAAACCACTTGGGGAAGAGGGGGTGTGGCGAACAAAGAAATTGTTGAAGTCACTAAAATTGTATTAAAAATGTTGGTTTGTTTGGTTTAATTATTAAAAATAATTAATAACCGATAATATAATTAATATTTATTATTTAATAAATTAAAATTAATTTATAAATTAATATTTTTAAGCATTATAATTATCTGTTTATGACTATTTCTGAAAAAGAGGGAGTAGCATGTAAAGGAAAGAAAAATATTGTTTAAGGAGTCCAAGCCCCTACATTTACTAGTCTTCCACTTCATCCCTGGGTCAGTCCATAAGGAACCCAGTCTCTACTGGTATTCAGTTATTGAAGCAGGTCTATTCTTAAGGAAGGTCGCAGTTTTCATTATCTTTCTTTGCTTTATAGGGGTAAGTATTTTTGGTATGATTAGGGTATGAAATATATTTGGTATTTAATTTGAAAATTTTTAAGTATAGTATTTCAGATTTGATACTTACGTAAATATTTGAAAATCCATACTTAGTATTTAACGTAACATATACCAAGTAACTTACATATATATATTTATATATTTTTTGAATGATATTTTACTTTAAATTTTTTAAAATTAAAATTTAATAAAATATTATTTATTATAATCTAAACTTAAATATAATCTAAAATAATAATAATAAATTAAAATTTAATTTCATATCTATAACTCAAATCTAAGTACTATTAAAAAATAATTAACAATAAAGAACAAAAAAAAGGGTAAAAAAATGAATGAAAATAAATTAAGTATAAAAAGAATGTACTTCTAAGGAGATATTTAGGTTTTTGGACTTATAATCCCCTTAATCTTCTGTTTTAGTTTGTTCAAAAGGGATAATAACTAATAGTATTGTATTTATTTTAATATCCTAATATCTATGCCTTTGACTTATAATTCTTATCATATTAAATTTGCAATTTGAAACTAAAAAATCATCTATACAATAAGCAAAGATTATGACTCAAAAATCACTAATAGACAAATAAAAAAAAAAACTAAAAAGAATCAAAATTTAAGGTTGCATTAACTCACCGTTACCTAATAATGCAAGAGCACCTAACCCTCTAAGCCAACTGACTTATAGCCAGCTATGAAGGTGTAATTCCACTAGTATGATGCTGGTTCAAATACTCCTATCTTTCGAAATTTGAACTTGTTCAAAAAGGAAAAAAGGAGTGCAAGAAAGGAAAAAAGTTGCTAATTGCGTGTATGATATGTATTTAGTTTAAAATTTATTATTTATAAATTTTCTATGTGATTTCTTTTCTTTTTTTCTATTTTATTATTTTTATTTTTAAAAATTATTGTTATCATGTAAATGTTAAGTATAATAAATATATATAAAATTTCAATTATATAAATACAAGTATTACGTTCATTAAATAAAATAATTAAACAAGTTAGGCAAATAGTTTTAAATCCTTATAGTTGTTACTTAGCTTAATACTTGTAGGTATATTATTTTTATACCCATTATTTACTTAATATTTTTACAATTAAAGTAAAATATTTATCTAAATTAATAAATAAAAATAATATTTATCAGCTTTACCTCCTAAAAATTATGAGAAA